GCAAGCCGAGGCAGGCTGAGGCTGAGGCCGAAACTGAGTCAGGCTGAGGCATCCGTAGGAATCCATAGGAATCCTTAGGAATCCCTAGGCATCCTTGGGAATCCGTAGGCATCCTTAGGAATCCGTAGGCATAGTTAAGCATCCTCATGAATCCTTAGGAATCCTCAGGATTCCATCGGAATCCCTAATAATCCCTCGGAATCCCTAGGACTCAGGATTCCTAAGGATTCCCAAGGTTTCCTAAGGATTCCGATGGATTCCTCAGGATGCCGAAGGATGCCTTAGGAATCCCTCGGAATCCTTAGGAATCCATTGGATCCTAAGGCCGTTGCCACTGCGACTGTCATTGCGAATGCGAATGCGACTGCGAGAACAGCAGAATTCTACAACTGGATTCTCACCTGAATCTTAAGGGGAATGCTTCCAGATATACTTATACACATCGCTGTTAGGTTGCCTTTCCGGGATAAGTTTGTTGTTATTTGGTTTTTGTTTGTTTGGTTGTTTGCAGGCTGTCTTTGGTTTTGGCGATTTCGAAGATTCCGATGAGGAGGAGCAGGAGGAGGAGGATGAGGAGGAGGAAGAGGAGGAGAGGCAGGGAGGGACAGGAGAAGGAAACGGAGAGCGAATATATCGATCGGCGGCCGCGCGAGAGACGAATCGGTATGATCATAGGGGCGACCATATATATATATATATATATACACACATCGAGATATACACATTGCATATATGTATACATGTATGTATGTATATATCTGTATGGGAAGAGAGGGATACAAACATGAATCAGACCTACCAACATATGTGTACACAAAGAGGCAGAGAGATAATGCTATCTGAGTCTGTCCTCCGTAATATCAATACGTCCTCTCTCTATTTATATATGTAGATACATATATTGTTATGTCGTTGTACAAGGGGAGGGAGGTACAGAGAAAGAGAGAATCACAGGACGATACAACAACAGAGTTACGCAAGCAAAAAAATGCATGTGTGCCGTATCAGGCTCACCTCAATGTATGTGTATTCGCAGCCAGTCACATAATCTTAGATGCACGCAGATAACATTGTACGAAGTGCTGCTATATATGCATAAGCACGTGTGAATCTACATCTGCTTACACCAAAACGTACATATATGACATCGAGTAGATCTATACATATATACACAGAGAGAAAGGGAGGCACCAATCAAGCGTACATGCTGATATATAATGAGTAAGTGTACATGTGCGCATACAGAGAACCGAAAGAGACCGATACACGTATATATGTATATATATATATGCGCAACCGACGCGAGCATGTACACATACACACATATATATACACATATGTACACACGTATGTATACATAACTATACACATGTACGTCTTCTCACATAAAGACACACACATAGATTAGTACGACATGCACAGGTAAGGCTACATGGAGAGTGAGGGTAAGAGAGGGAGTGCGGCCCGTACGTTCACAGGTCTATTAGATAGGTGTGCGATATTCACGTGCAAGTGGATATTTATATTTATACATGTGTGTAGGGAGAGAGAGAGAGAGAGAGAGATTAAAAAAAGTAAGGAACAACAACACACAATGATATGAGAGAGGGAGAGAGACGAGAGAAATAGAGAGAGAGAGAGAAGACAGAGAAAGAGAAATCGAGAGAGAGAGAGAGAGACCAGGACCCGCGAGAGCTCGGAACAGGGAACCGCGGGTCCCAGGAGCCCAGAACATGGAAACGAGAACCCGGAACCCAGAGCTGGCAACGGGGAGCCAGGAACCAAGAACGGAGAATCAAGAACGTGGAACTGGGAACCAGAGCAAAGAACCGGCGGGAACCCCGGAACCGGGCACCGGGACCCAGCAGAAATTGGGAACCGGGAACCGGGACCCGGGAGCCGGGCCCCAGGAAACAGGACCCGGGAACCGGGAACCAAGACTCGGGAACCGGGAACCGGGAACCGTGAACCGGGAACCGGGAACTGGGAGCCAGGAGACGGGAACAGGGAGCCGGGAACCAGGAACCGGGAATTGGGACCCCGGAGCCGGGAACCCGGAACCGGGAGCCGGGAACCGGGAACCAGGAACCGGGAACCGCGGAAACCAGGAATTCGTTGACTAAAAGACCTTATTTCATCCTCATCTTCATCCTCATCGTTATCCTCATCCTCATCCTCCTCGTCCTCCTCCTCCTCCTCCTCCTCCTCCTCCTCCTTCTCCTCCTCCTCCTCCTCCTCCTCCTCCTCCTATTCTCGGGCTCAGGGTCTCCGGAGTTTACCGTGAACCCCCAACCCAGAGCTCCTGGACTGGGGATCTCGATACACCAGGGCATGGGCGCGCCCGAGAAGGCTGCAGCCAGCCGTAGGCAGAACTAAGAAATATTCTCCACTCTTTCGTCCCTCCAGGCTGAAACTTGATTCTCCGCCTGAGGGCCACGGCCCTCCCGCCGCGCTCTTCTATAGGGGCCGTCCTCCAGGACGCCTTCGGCAACTAGCTCGACCCTGCCGCCGACCTGCCGGCTTCTAGTCTGAAAGCCTCGAAGCTCTTCAAGGAGCTATCCGGGAAAAAGCCGGACAGCAGGGCAAACGAAGGGCGTGGAAAGGCCTGGCAGGGATCTTTGGAAGGACCTGGAGAGAGCTTCCGAAGAACCTTCTAAAGAGCTTCCGGGCACTCGTGTTGGGAAACGCTTGGAAAAGGGCTTTCGGAACACGCTGCAACTTCAAGCAGGGCACGCCGGAAAGCCTGAATCGCCGCGCGAACGATCTCCGGGGCTGCCTTGCTCAGGTTCTGAATCTGAAGCCCTCTCAGCTCCGCTCCGCTGCACGTGGACTGTTCATAGCCCCGGTCAGCGCAGTGTCCTGGTCTATAGAGCCCTAGCCAGCCGCGTCAATGCCCTCGGCTGTTCCTGCGCACCCTCCCTTCCCCTCGCCCGCCGCGCCGGGCGCTCCGCCGAGGGCCACGCGAGACGACGACTCCATTGCGGCCGCAGTGGGGCGGTGGGGGATCGTTCCTTCGCCTCCTCCTTCTGCCCCTCGTCGTCGTCGTCCTCCTCCTCCTCCTCCTCCTCCTCCTCATCCTTCCTGTCCCTTCCCCTCCTTCTCCTCCTGCTCCTGCTCTTCCTCCTCCTCCTCCTCCTCCTCCTCCCCCTCCTCCTCCTCCCCCTCCTCCTCCTCCCCCTCCTCCCCCTCCTCCCCTTCCCTTCCCTTCCGGCTGAGCCCCTGATGAATCGATTGGAGTTGTCTCGGTTGACTCCTCTGCCTCAGACGTCGTTTACTGTGCTGGAGGCCTCGACGTTCAGGTCGTGAGCGTCATGCCAGGCCTGGCTGTCACACTCTTGAGTTGTAGTCTCGAGCTGCAGGCCTCTCGCCTGCCCTGCTGCATCGTGGGTCGTGTTCGTAACTCCGGCGCGCGACCATGAACCCTGAACATCCCCTTCTCGTCCCTCCTCCTGGGGGCTAGGAGGCAGCCTGATTGTGCTGGAGACGACGACGTCCCCAGGCATCCGACGATGCGATTCTTTCAATTCACGGCCCCTGAGGTCCCTCCCCCTCTCAAGGGGACAGTTTTTCGTCCCAGATCCATTTCTGGCGGCCCCTGGGCCGGCCCGCCGTCCAGGGGGCGGGGGGGAGGGCGGGGAAGGGGGAGGGGAGGCGAAACTGAAGGAAACACGCCGCGGTTGAAAACGCGCGCACACACACATTCACACACACACACGCACGCGCACGCACACGCACACACACACACACACACGCACGCGCACGCACACGCACACGCACACGCATACGCGCACACGCACACACACACGCATACGCGCACACGCACACACGCATGCACGCACGCACGCACGCACGCACGCACACACGCACACACACACACACATACGCACACACACGCACGCACGCACGCACGCACAAACACATACACACACAATCACACATACACACGCGCGCACACACAACTCACATGCACGCACACACACACACACACACACGCACACACACGCACGCACGCACGCACGCACGCACGCACACACGCACACACGCACACACACACACGCACACACACACGCACACGCGCGCATATACACACGCGCGCACATACACACAGTTACACACTTACACACACTTTTACTTACACGCTTCCATACTTACACACGTACGCACTTACACGCACACACAAACACACACACACACACGCACGCACGCACACTTACACTCGCGCACACGCGCGCGAACACACACACACACATACACACACACAACAACAACAACAACAACAACAACAAGAACAATAACAACAACAACAACAACAACAACAACAACAACAACAACAACAACAAACACACACACACACACACGCACACACACACACACGCGCGCGCGCGAACACACACACACACACACATACACACACACACACGCACACACACATACACACATACACACCCGCACTCACACACACACACACACTTACTTTTCTTTTAGCTTCGCGGTCGGTTGGTCCAGCGCAGCGAGGGCAAAAGCGGGACGCGCTAAGAGTGTTTGCCAACGAATGTGAATGTGTATCGATGGGGTGTCAAATCGACGAGTGGTTGCCGTCGCTGTTTCCCCATACTTTTGCGAATATACCCGCCTTATTTTTCTGAGGCGGAAATGTCCGCCATACTTGTTCGCATCGTTTGGGGTGTATGCCCAATACTATTGCAAGTCGAAAAATCAGCCACTGTACGACGGATCCAGATTTAGGATGGGCGGGGAGGGGCAAACTTGGAGGAGACAGGCCGCGGTTGAAACATCAGACACACACTCACCCGCACTCACATGCGTCGCCAGCTTGTCTGGGACGATCGTGTGCGATCGTCGACGTTGACGGCGTCGTTGTTGTAGTCGTCGTCGCGTAGTCATCGTCGTCGTCGTCGTGGTCGTCGCTGTCCGACGGCTTCGTCGTCGTCGTCGTCGTCGCCGTCGTCGGCGGCGGCGGCGGCGGCTAGCAGATCCAGGCGGCTCTCGCTGCGGCCAGACGGCGTCAACTGCAGCTCGACGCTGAGCGCCCTGGCCAAGGCCCCGCGGCCTCGCTCTCGCCGCGGCCCGCTGGCCCGCGGCCCGCGGCCGCCGCAAGCTCGGAGGCCCCTCGGAGGGCCCTGCAGCAGGCCGTCGGCGGCCTCGCGGCGGCCCTGCGGCGGCATTCGGTGAGCGTCGTCGTCGCCATCCGTCGTCGTCGCCGTCGTCGGCGGTGGCGTCAACGTCGGAGTCGGCGTCGGCGTCGGCGTCGGATTCGGCGTCGGATTCGGCGTCGTCCTCCTCTTCTTCCTCCTCCTCTTCCTCCTCCTCATCCTCATCATCGTACTCCTCTTCCTTCTCGTCCTCCTCTTCCTCCTTTTCCTCCTCCTCCTCCTCATCATCAGCATCAGCATCAGCATCAGCATCAGCATCAGCATCAGCATCAGCATCATCATCATCATCATCATCATCATCATCATCATCATCATCATCATCATCGTCATCGTCATCGTCATCGTCATCGTCATCATCATCAGCAGCAGCACAAGCAGCAGCATCATCATCATCATCATCATCATCATCATCATCATCATCATCATCATCATCATCATCATCATCATCGTTGCCGTCGGACTTTGTCGCTGGAGAAAAGGAGGAGGAGGAGGAGGAGGAGAAGGAGGAGGAGGAGGAGGAGGACTTTGTCGCTGGAGAAAAGGAGGAGGAGGAGGAGGAGGAGGAGGAGGAGGAGGAGGAGGAGGGAGGAGGAGGAGGAGGAGGAGGAGGAGGAGGAGGAGGAGGAGGAGGAGGAGGAGGAGGTGGAGGAGGAAGTGAGAGGGTACCGAGGGGGAGAGGAGGGTGCAGAGGGGAGGAGGGCGGAGGAAACTGAGCAGGCAGCCGGATCAGGCGAGGGCCGGCCGGCGGCGCAGCGTTTTCGCTCCGCCGGGTCTGGCCACCCACCCACGCCTCGGCGCAACACGCTATGTCCGCGTCGCGGTCAGCAGGCGTCGACGTCCCGAGCGTTTGCCTGCCTCCCTCTTCCGCGGAGCGGGGCGATGCGTTAGCCACTTGCCAGACGCAGCGTGTCGCCGGCGTCGCCGCCGCAGTACGCTCGGCAAGGGTTCCCGACCGCACCCCAGACGCAGCTCGTGCACGCAGCCGAGCTCGGCGTCCCAGGCTCGACGCCCGCCAGGCGGCCGCCGAGGCTGCGCCAGAGGGAGGCCAGAGGCAGGGCCGCAGGAGCGCCAAGGAGGCTGGCGCGATGGCTCGCCAGCAGCGGGTCGAAGCTGGGATCGCCCCCCCCCGGAGGCAGGGTCAGTTGCTGCAAAGCCCCAGCGGCAGACCAGCTGGGAGCATGTGGGGAAACAAGCGCCGCCGCCGCCGCCGAGCGCGCCACCCAAGTCGAATCTCATCTCCGCGCCGAGCGCGCCGCCGCTGCCGAGCGTCCCACGCGCTGGGGCGCGCCGCTCCCAGGCGTCCCGGTGGGAGCGGCGGTCGGTCGGCGGAGGAGGATGCATGACCATGGACGAGGAGGAGGAGGCGGCGGAGGCGGAGGCGGAGGCGGAGGCGGAGGAGGCGGGGGAGGTGGAGGAGGAGGAGGAGGAGGAGGAGGAGGAGGAGGAGGAGGAGGAGGAGGAAGAGGAGGAGGAGGAGGAGGAGGAGGCGGAGGCGGAGGAGGAGGAGGAGGCGGAGGAGGAGGAGGAGGAGAGGAGGGAGGAGGAGGAGGAGGAGTAGGAGGAGGACGAGGAGGCGCAGGAGGATGAGGCGGAGGAGGATGAGGCGGAGGCGGAGGCGGAGGCGGAGGCGCGATGAGGCGCGCGCCGCCCCCGAGGCCTCCCGCTGGGAGCGAGCGGCGCTGCTCCTGCGCGAGCTGCGCCGGGAGGGCGCCGGCCTCACCGCGGCTGGCTGCGGCGCGGCCGTGGGCGCCTGCGAACGCAAGGCCCGCCGCCGCTGCCGCCCGCGGGCCTCCGGATGCCCTTCCGGCGGTCTTCGTTGGGGGGCGCGTGATGGAGGGGGGCGTTCATGTGTGGGGGGGCAGCGAGGGACGCAGAAGAGGAACCAAAAGCGCGCTTCGGGGCCCAGCGGGGGGCCTTCAGGGCCCAGGAAGGGCACCTTTCCCCCCCCCCCCCGTCATCGGCACCCCATTACGCCGCGCTCAACTTGGGAGGCCCTTTCCGGCGGCCGTCGGAGGCCCTTTTGGCGGCCACCGGAGGCATCTCGCGGCATAGCACACTCTCGAAGGTCCTCGCGGATTTCTCGGATCGGCGCTGATGCCCCCCGGCAGCGCCTCTGGCGCCGCCCCTGGCGCGCGGAGCGCGCCAGGCAGGAGGGTCAGCGCCGAGCCAAGACACACGCGCGGACCTCCGAAAGTTGGTGTTTATGCCATGGTTTCTTACTCTGCTGGAGGCCTCGGGATGATTACCTCTGTGTGCCCTCGGCGGTCTTCGGCAGCTGTCGGCGGCCCGACCGCGGCCTTCGGAAGCCATCGGCGGCCTTCTTGCGGCCGTCCTGCGGCCCTCTGAGGCCACGTCGAAGGTATAGCCGCGAACTTCCGCGGCCTCTGTAGGCCCAGGCAGCGTCGTCGTCGTCGTCGTCGTCGTCGTCGTCGTCGTCGTCGTCGTGGTCGTCGTCGTCGTTTTCGTCGTGGGTCGAGGCTTCGAGGGGCTCGAGGGCTCGAGGGCCCGAAGGCAGGCAGGCTTTTGGCATTAGGCCCCCCGGAAAAAAAACACGGAAGGGTCTAGGGTTAAGTCGGGCCTGTCCTTCTACAGGAGGAATGTTCAAAAATAGTCCAAACATTAGTCTAGGGACTATCTTTGAGTATTTCTGAATTCCTTGATTATGTTTGACTATTCCTGAAGGTTCGTCCGAAATCCGCCTGTAGGAGCACACGCCCGACCTAAGTCCAGGGGGCCTCCAGGGTGTCAGTTGCGCGTGAGAGCGAGCCGTCGCTGGAGTGACCTTTCGATGGGCGCAGTGGTGCCAAGCCCAAGCACGCAGGCCTCCACTGTCGCCATTGCCGCGTGCGGCGATCGGCAGGCCGCGCACCGAAGGGTCACATCGTGCCCAGGGTCACTCTTGCGTGACGTTCGGGGGCGGCTCTGGAGGCTCCCAGGACCCCTGCGAGCGCAGGGGTCCTGCGGCCCTGCGGCGGGGCTCGGCGGCCAGTTCGGCAGCGAGGAGGCCGCCGCCGCTGCCGCAGCTATCGCCATTACCATCACCGTCACCATCACCACCGCCATCACCATCTCCATCTCCATCACCGTCACAATCACGATCGCCATCACCGTCACGACCACCATCACCGTCACCATCACCATCACCACCACCGTCGCCATCACCGTCACAATCACCATCGCCGTCACCATCACCATCGCTGTCATTATCACCATCACCGTCATAATCACCATCACCGTCACCATCGCCATAACCATCATCACCGTCACGGTCACCAGCAGCATCACCATCACCATTGCCATCACCATCGCCATCACCATCATCATCACAATCACCGTCACCATCACTGTCACCATCACCATCACCATCACCATCGCCATCATAATCGCCATCACCATTACCATCACCGTCGCCATCACAGTTACCATCACCATCATCGTCACAATCACCATCACCATCACCATCGCTATCACTGGGGCCATCATCATCACAATCGCCAACACAATCACCGTCACCATCACCATCACAATCGCTATCACCATCATCATCACCATCACAATCACCATCACCCTTGCCATCACCATCATCATCATTATCATCAGTACCATCATCATTCACACCATCATCATCATTAACTATCACCATCACCATTGTCATCACCATCGCCATCATCGTCACCGTTACAATGCCATCACCGTCACCGTCAGCATCATCATCAACGTCACCATCGCAATCACCATCGCCATCACCATCGCCATCACCATCACCATAACCATCACCATCGCCATCACCGTCACCATCACTGTCACCGTCACCATCACCCTCTCAGTCACCATCACCATCGCCACCACCATCACCATCACCACCACCATCGCCATCACCATCACCATCGCCATCACCGTCACCATCGCTATCACCATCGCCATCAGCGTCACCATCACCATCGTCATCATTATCAGTATCACCATCACCGTCACCATCGCCATCACCATAACCGATAGCGTCACCATCGCCCTTACCATCACCGTCACCGTTACCATCACTATCACCATCACCGTCAACATCACCGTCACCGTCGCCATCACCTTCACCACCATCACCGTCGCCATCTCCATCACCATCAGCGTCACCATCACCATCATCACAATCAGCTTAACCATCACCATCACCATCGCCATCAGTGCCACTCGGGCTCGAACTCGCTGGGGAGCGAGTGCGCGCAGCCCTCCCGATCTGCCCTCCGAGTCCGATTCTCATACTCCTGGCGGCACCGACAGTGAGCCTCACTGCAGAAGATCGGTTGTTCCTTTTGCTCGCTCTGCTTGCGACCATCCAGTTTCTTGAGATGGCGAAGAAGACAACGAAGATCAGCGGGCCTCCTGCTCGCAAGACGAAGGTTGTCGGAATCATCCAACAGGGCGGTGGCGATCGTGCTACCGCGGCCTACAATGAGCTGACCCACAAGGACCAGACGGGACTGGACCAGGTGCTGGACCAGACCTCAGAGGACAAGCAGTCGAGAGCCATCCAGAAGCTTTCGACAAAGAACGAGATCTCGTGGACCAACGAGCACCAGCGGCGCACCTCGGCAGCCACTGCTGTGACCGATGGAGCCACGAACACCACGAAGGGCAAGGGTAAAGGCAACGCGACCGTGGAGCCGCAGCCCATCGCCCTGGACGAGCAAGACTGGTCCGCCACCATTGCGCAGGTTCCCAAGAAGTTGCCCGACGGCACCTATGAGTCCTCCATCTCCCTCCACAGCACGGAGGATGCGGAGAAGTGGTGCACGGCGCTACGGCGCCAGAAGGAGCCGCTCGCCATCCTGGCTTTCGGCACGGGCAGCAAAAATTGGGCCCACGCGCAGATCCAGATCCCTGTGCCCCAGGCTCCCCACGGCACTTCCAACCCGCGGAAGACCTTCTTGAACGGCGTCATCTACCAGTTCGGCGAGACCGACGTCACCATGAAGACCAACGTCACGCAGCTCGGCGAAGCGGACGGCAACGCGACCTTCATGCGCACCACCATCCACGAGGCCTGCACGCAGCTCGTCAACCCCACCATGAGTGAGGTCTTCAGCAGTCAGCACAGTGGCGCTGCCCCCGTAGCTGTCGGCGGGCAGCGCACGGACAAGCTGGGCAGCACAGCCAACGAGCGTTGGGAGACGGCCCGCAAGTACGATGCTAAGACCACCATGGGCAATGGGCTACCCGACGCCATCAAGGCTACCATGCAGGCCATATGTCCCGAGATCCCGTCCCACGACGAGCCCAGCCGCCTGCTACGAGCAGGACGTGCGAACGTAGCACCCAACAACACCACCCAGTTGAACCAGGACCAGCTCCAGAGAAGTTTGGCTGCCATACTCAAGAAGATGAATCTCCAGGAGGAGCACGCTGATGCCCCCAGCAACAAGACGCCGCGCACCAGTGACGACGGCAAGGGCAGCAAGGACGACGACAAACTCTGAAGGTGTCCAAGGAGGGTAAGTCCCGCCTTTCGTTGGGAAGTACGTGAACGGGGACACCAATTACATTTGCTTGATAGTGATCTACACGCTCAAACTCCGGGGTACTGCAGCGAGTGGGATGGCTGCAGAAATGAGCATCGTACCGCAGCTTCGACCATGTCTACTGCTAGTCTGGGAGACTGCCATGGTAACGGCACGTCCGGGACTAACACGTGGGAGGCCCCGCCTCGATCCAACCTCCTCATGCGAACACATCGTTTCAAGCGACACTTCGGGTTTTTCGTCATGTGGGTCCTGGCGACATTGCCCCAGTGCCATTGCTACAGTCATCGCACGCGAGCATACTCTGATTCAACACTGGGTGACGGGCCTGGCTATCACAAGTTCGTCTCACTCAATGTGACCCCGCTGCAAGCACACTGGGAATTGCTCACAGCTCTTGGCGATCGAGGCGTCGCAGTTGCAGCTCTTCAAGAAGTACGTCGCACATCTCATCAAATTTCCGGCCTTGATAAGCATCTCCATCGGCACGGGTGGAAAGCACACTGGGGCCCGCCTCTCTCCCCTGGCACGCGCGTGGTTCCAGCGCAGGATGGCAAGCACCAGTGCGTGACCAAAGGAGTAAACACTGAGCATGGGGGCGTTGCCATCGTTACCCCGACTTCTGAACCATGGTTCCTACGGATTGCCAACACCCTGTTCAAGAACGTCTTTTGGCGACAAAGCGCTGGAAGGAGGTATTTGTTCCCATCCCCAGTCAGAAAAGGAAGCTGACCGCTGGGTATTATCTCGCCACCGTCTACGGAGTCGCCACAGAGTCAAACGAGGACCTGTTCGCGGACGCTTGGCAAGCAGCTGCTCTACGAGGCACGGCCGCCCCCTATTTCATCACCATGGATGCCCAGTGCGATGTCACCGAGTCTGCGTTTCTCAGTTGGGTATTACAGGAAGGCGGCTGGAACAACGTTTCGAACGGATATCCCGACCAGGGCGCCATGACCTAGGGCCGCGACCCCAACTGGAACCGCTACGACCCCATCGAACACACCTCTAGGATCGACTACACCTTTGCGAATGATAGCGCCAATGCTATGGTCATCGATGTTCAGATTGTTCGTGAATTCAGATGCCCTGGACATCTCGGCCTCGAAGTTACTCTCAACGTGGATGCATTTGCTGCACGGGTTCGACGGTGGGAACGCCCGAAGCTCCACGACGTCTACCACATCAGCATGCCACACGATGAACGTGAAGCACTTGGCGCCCACTTGGTTGACCAACGTGCCAAACAGCTTGCACTGGCGCAAAGCAACGCAGAGGATACGTTCGCTCTTGCCAACAAGATGGCGGAGGATTTCTTGGAGATATGCTGTGATAGTCATGTCAAGAAGGGCACGAGAGGGCGTGGCAAGCCCCCTCGTTTCGTGCAAGGGTGGGCTGCCCCACCTATCTCCCCACAGCACGGGGCTATGTCTCGCACAGAGTGGCAGTGCACCAGGCTCCACCGTCGACTACTTGAGCTAAGCTATCGTGCTGAACGCTGTGAAGCTCGTGGGTATACATCCTACATCGATATCCAGCTCTACCACCAGCTCTGGGCCAACTGCTGCGAACAAGTCCGACTTCTACAACCTGTGTGTGCATCCTGGCCTGGATGGTGGACGCCTTTCTGCTGGCCCTCGGCAGCCCAGGCCCGTCACGCTGCTGCCCAGGTACTTGCTGAACAACAACGGTATGCCGCAGAAGCCCAACGCCAGCGATTGCAACAATGGCGAACGCGAATTTCAGCACCTTGTCAAAGCGGGGGGCGAGAGGTGTGTGCCTGGGTAAAAGCGCGGACTCAGCTACCCACTACCTTCCCCCCCCCCCAAAAAAAAAAAAAAAAAACGACATCCAGGACATCATCTCCAACCCGCTCGACATCATCAAGCTGATGCAGCTAACTTGGGAGCCGATTCTTTGCAAATATCGTGGGACTTCAGAGGTTCCCACTTGGGAGGATTTCCGTGCCGAATGCGAAGCTGAGCTGCCCCCTGTGAGCCCCTGTCCTGAGCCCTCACTTAGTGGCGCTGATGCCAGCGCTTTTCGCCAGGCACGCTCCTCTCGCAAGGCGGGAGGTCTTGACGGATGGGCGACGGTGGAGGCCAAAGCTCTGCCCACAGCCATCCAAGCAGTCTTTGCCGAGGCTCTTCGATCGATGCAGAATTCGGGTTATGTCCCCTCGGCTTTCAAACATGTTCCGAATCCCGCCTTGAGGAAGGGAGAGGGGATTTTTCCTGAAGAGCAAGGGCTTCTTTCCGTTCTGTCTGTGTGGCTTTATGCTTGGGAAGTCCCGATCTACCGAAAGCTCGACTCTTGGAGGCGCAAGTGGACTCACCCCACGAGTTTTGGGGCCACGTCGGGGGCTCGCCTCTCGGATGTTTCCACCAGTCTTGCCCTTCAGGTCGAGTGGTCCCGTCGCACCGAGAACTGGGTCCACGGTCTCGCTCTCGACAGAAAGAAGTGCTTCGACCTGCTGATAACAAGTATATGCATCGAACTACAACGACATACCGGGTGCCCCGAGAGTGTGCTTCGAGTTCGCGAACAATTTTACGCCCAGCATCGGAGGTGCTTGCGAATGTCTGGAACCTACAGCGACGCCGTGGCCACCACAAATGGCCACCTACAAGGATCTGCTTTCAGCATTGATGACATTAAGATGCTCATGTATGTATGGACGGCGAGACAACACAGAGTAATACCGTGTGGGACATCCACGGTGTGGGACATGGCTGGTATTCGTGAATCGCTTCGCGAATCGCTCCTGTTTGATAAACTTTCTGGTCAGGAACTACACCTTGGGAAGCTGGTCGCCTGGACCACCGACGAGGACTTGACCACTGAGCTCGCCAACGCCACGGTCTGTGGCCACAACCTGCCCGTTAAGCGCGCCTTCCGTCTTGTGGGCAGCCAGATCGCCACCCGCGGAGGCGATGACGCCAGCCTCATGGACCGCCACTTTGTTGCTGCAGCTCAACGACTTCGACGTGCTCAACGGCTCCCCCTCCCTCTACACAAGCGTGCCGACATCGCGCAGACGATGGCGGCATCCATGGTTGCTGTGGGATCCGACCTCGGCACGCCCTCCAACCGACAGCTGCGGGATTACTACCACGCCATGTTCGCGACCATCATGCCTAAGGGACGGCAGTGGACCTGCCTGTGGATTTTGCTGAGCGTTGTGCTGAAGGGCCACCTCCTCGACCCCATCGCGATCAGCCAGAGAGAAGTCACCCTTTCGCTACGACGTCAGGCTCTGCGGGTGCCGCAGCTGCGTGACTACGTGCGTGACCTGCGTGATCATATCCAAGATGCAGACGCTGCCTACCCTGGTCCAGTGCGAACTTTCGTCAAGATGCTCAACCAGCTCAACTGGCGCTGGCCATATTTCGACATCCTGATGACCGACCTGGGCACCCCCATCTCGTGGCTCGAAGGGCACAGTGACTTTCTCATGCACCATCTCCGAGACTCCCAACGACGGTGGTTTCAACGTAAGGTGCCCACTACGCGGAACGACCTCGGAGACGTGGCTAAGCACAAGTATGGCATCGACATGGTTTCAAATTCTTGGCTCTTGCGAACACGCAGTCTCAGGCACCGTCTTACTAAGTGGCAGCGCGGCCTACTGTCTGTATTTCTAGCCGGCGGCGATCACACACAACAAAGATTGAAAAGATCTTCAATTTCAGAAGACCCTTCAGCGGTGTGCAGGTTCTGTGAGAGAGAACAGGAAACGCAAGAACACATCCTGTGGGAATGCCCTTGCTGGCAAGAAGAACGCGCACCGCTACTCCAACATCCACAAGCTCAAGAACGTGATCAGTGGCCGCCTTCAACACGTCACTGTGGTCTCACGCACATCGATAAGGAGACGGTCAAACTCTACAACGAACTCGCTGCCCTACCTGAGCCCCCACAACACCGACCCCCACAGCAAGTGGATGACGATCCCGCTGAGGACATGGTCAACTACATCACCGACGACGAGAACAAGCGGTGGATGGCCGTAGCTACGGATGGCGCCTGCCGTTTCCCCCAACATCAGTGGCTAGCTCGAGCTGGATACGCTGTACATGTGGCGCCACACCACCGCCTAAACTATTCATCGAAGCTATACGGACCACGACAAAGTAGCGCACGAGCTGAAGCCCGAGCCTTACTTCACGTTGTGCGCGTCGCGGAGGAGCCTATGTGGATCTACTGCGACAGTCAACAAGGTGTTCGTGAATTCAACAATCTACTACAAGGAGGAGAGCCGCCTGGAGGAAGCTGGAACGACATCTGGGCCCAGATCAAGATTGCGATCGACGCCAAGCCCGAGATGTTCTACATCGAGCACGTGTACTCGCACCAGGGTGAGGACGGTGTGGACCGCGGCGCGGTGCATCCGCTCGCAGAGGAGTTGAATAAAAAAGCTGATGTGCTTGCCGCAGATGCCGCCGAGTCACACCCCTCCCGACCTCTGTAATTCAGAAAGCCAGGGACCGTTTTACTCTGACCACTTTAATGCATCGATCGATTGTTCGAATTTTAGAGAAGCGAGCTGTGAGGAGACCCCTTCCCCATCGGTCTGCGGGGTTCTCGGAAGCCCAACTCGCTCGTCTCGCTCCCCTTGCCTTCGGCCCTCTCCCGCCTCCTCCTCCTCCCCCTCCCCCTCCCGACTGGGAGGAGGCAGTGGGGGTCGAGGTCGAGCTCGAAGATGGGGCCGACTTTGACCCTTTCGGATTTGGTTTCGAGTTAGGTTAGCCAGCATGGCAACTATTTAGATAGTGCCTCGTCCCGTGCCCGAGGCAAGAGGCTCCCGCCTCCGTCTCGGTTCCAGGTGCCGCGGACTCCGTTTCAGAGTCCAAGCGAAGGGGGAGCCCCGTCGTGTTTTTCTTCTCTCATGGTTGAGCAGGCCCAGCGAGCCTAGAATAACCGATCCAAAGCGCAGGGCATCACCATCGCCATCACCG